AAATGTCAGCTTTCCTGCTCCTCTGATGCTGCTTGGCCTGCTGTGTTCATCCAGCTCTACACTGTGTTATCTCAGATTCTCCAGCATCGGCAGTTCCTACTATGTCAGTAGAAACATGCCCTGTTTTACACACTCTTACATGAAAGAAGGCATGTTCAGGAAGCAACACTGTGTCTGCCAAACATTATAGGTTTTATAAAAGTGTTCTGAATCTTTTTCCCAACTTCTTACGAAACATTCTAGTATTCTCATCCTCTTACATTTGCCTTTCACATGAACTTCCCCTTCTAGCAGTAGTTCTGAACCTGAACCCATTTGAGTTTTGACTATCTAACCAAATCAACTTACATTGCAGAGCTTGGTGCTATCTGTAATTGAGTTCCAAGAGAGCCTTAGTTAATGGAAACTAATTTGAAACTGACTTGCACCTGAAGATAAAAACTGGCTCTGTGTATTTTACAACAGCTTATGCTAGCAGCAAATCTAATAATTTAATAGTTTCACTTGGTTGGTTTTGTATGTTAAATAGAAAATGTCAACAACATTGTCTCCTTTAATGATATCATTCAAATTTTAATAGTTGAAGATACAACGTGCAACGGTAATGGACTACATTTAATGTTGATGATTGGAGTCTTGCCCACTGTACGGACAGCCTGAGGGAACGCCACATCCTAAATGGTGGGATGTCTGATCAAACTGGTGTTGGTCAGTCATTTACATGATCTGCATGGGTCTTTCCTGTGATTTAGTACCCCCAAAGGCTGAAGTTTCATTCACCAAAAACTGATGGCTACACAGGCACTTAACAGCTTTCCAATCCAGGCAACAAGGTGGCTATGTTCCAAGGATTTCACCAAAGATCATTGTTAACTTACTGGACACAGGTGAGTGAAGACTGGAAAGGGTTGCAGGGGGTTGGAGGGAAAGGCAGGAAGGTGACTTTCAACTCTGAGCCCCACCCCCACCTGGATTCATTGAGGAAGCAGCAAAAAGTTTGTCTTCCAGTTAATCTCCGAGTAACCATTAAATTCCCATAGAAGTGTTTTGCCTTTACAGCACAGAACTGTACATGTGCTCATTTTTGCTTTTTTACGTTCAAATCACAATTTCCATTGATCAAATTCCTAACTTAAGTAAATTAAACAAGTAGAATGAAGACTTGGAACTTACACTGGTTGTATGGAGCTTCATTTTGAATTTCTCAAAATACAGCCACTGTTTTGAATCATTTGGATCCAGGTCATGATAAAAGTCTCTGGCTGCATAACCAAAGCTATGGTACTTTCCATCAGGTGTTAGTAGGATAGTGGTAGGCATCTTCTGATTGGATACACCAGGGTCACCACCTTCCCATCGTCTAACAAAAAAAAAGTTCAATGATACTGTAGTTAATCTCTTTGAGGTACATAACCTTAGAATTACACAGTTGGTTCAGCCCATAGATAGGATGAGGGATGGATTCCAGAGCTTATGGCTTTGCTAGCTGAAGGCACAGCTGATAAGTGGGAAGCAACGAAAATCAGTGATGCCTAAAATACCAAACAACTAAATGCAAAGACACACAGGAAACAAAAACACACCAAAAACATACAGCTAGGTCCTGGTGGACCCACCCTATTCAGTTATCAGAGCGGTGATGCTTATTTCGGATGATGGTGGACACTAAACTTTAGATAAAACAGAATGCATAAAGATAGAGGAGGACCATTTCTTGTCAGAAACCTTTTTCATCAAACTGTTCTTTGGGGCAGAAGGAATAATGAACAATTTCAGCCATGGCCCTTTACTCAAAGTTGGTAAAGTATCTGTTCAATAGCCTCTGAGGTGGTCAAGTAGGGGTCTTCAAGCCTAAATGCTAGTTTAACCTGCATTTAGAAAGACGACATCTTGACAAAGGAATGGAAGCTTGCACTGGAAACAGCCATCCAGGGGATCTTTAAGCAGCTGATTGCCACTTAAGTTGCCTACTGGTGTCCATTAACTGGGGTGCATGGTATTTTGGTGGTTAGCATTTAAACTCATGCTCTCTACCTATTGCAACCAGATGATTGGGAACAAATGTGATGTTGCTGAAGATTGAAGTGCTAATTAAAAATAAAAAAACTTTACTATTCACACTGCTGCTGGATGTTTGAGAATACTGACTTACAAACCACTTCCTGGGTTAGTTCCCTGTCCCCAGAAGTAAAATGTCATTGTCAGCAAAAGTAAATGGTCATTGAGGCCAAAGAGATTCTAATATTCCTGAACAACATGGCCTCTCAATGAGGTTAGAAAGATCTTAAGCCACGACAAGGCAAGTATTAACTGTATGTTCGCAATAAATGTTGCCTTTCTGCCTAATTTGCTAAATCCTTCTCCCCTATAGATGGGGTGCATGCATCTTAATAGAAACCAATGTGTAAAGTCAAAATACCCACACTGACTCACAATCAGTACAGAATAAGGTTTACAAGCAATTGTGCCATTTTCAGATCAATGAATGAATTCTGGAATTAAAGCTGAAGCACACAAAGGTTTCTCAATTTACATCCGCAAAAGCCATCGTTATTTTAAAAAAAAATCACATAATAAAGGTAAATTATTTGTAGATTTGTGTCACCAGCTCGAAAAATACTTTCTGAAGATTAATTATTTTGTTAATTCTGAGTTTGGACTCTCAAAACAGTAGGTGTGAATCTGGGTTAAACTATTTTTCTTCATTCACTGTAGTCATATTTGTTCAAGCAGTGAAATGAGGAATATTTCTCAATATACTTGAATGTGGTGCTTTAATTTTCAGGTCAAGTGCATAAAGGTGGATAAATCACTGGGACCTGATCAGGTATACCCTAGAACTTTGTGGGAAGCTAGGGAAGTCATTGCTGGGCCACTTGCTGAGATATTTGTACCATCGGTAGCCATAGCTGAGATGCCAGTAGACTGGAGATTGGCCATTGTTTAAGAAAGCTGGCAAGGAAACACCAGGGAACTATAGACCAGTGAGTCTGACATCAGTGAAGGGCAAGTTGTTGGAGGGGATCCTGAGGGACAAGATTAACATGTATTTGGAAAGGCAAGGAGTGATTCAGGATAGAAAACATGGCTTTGTGCATGGGAATGTGTGTGTCACTAACTTAACTGAGGTTTTTGAAGAAGTTACGAAGAGAATTGATGAAGGCAGAGCGGTGGACATGATCTATATCAGTAAGGCATTCGGCAAGGTTACTCATGGTAGACTGGTTAACAAGGTTAGATCACATGGAATACAGGGAGAACTAGCCACTTGGATACAAAACTGGCTTGAAGGTAGGAGACAAAGGGTGGTGGCAGAGAGTTGCTTTTCAGACTGGAAGCCTGTGACTAGCAGTGTGCCACAAGGATCAGTGCTGGGTCCACTGCTTTTTGTTATTTATACAAATGATGTGAATGTGAATGTAGGAGGTACGGTTAGTAAATTTGCAGATGACACCAAAATTGGTGGTGTAGTCAACAGTAAAGAAGGTTACCTCAGAATACAATGGGATCTTGATCAAATGGGCAGATGGGCCAAAGAGTGGCAGATGGAGTTTAATTTAGATAAATGTGAGGCACTGCATGTTGGAAAGGCAAATCAGGGCAGGACTTGCACACGTGACAGCAAGGTCCTGGGGAGTGGTGCTGAACAAAGACCTTGGAGTGCAGATTCATAGTTCCTTGAAAGTGAGAGGGAATAGATTTAAAAGGGGCCTAAGGGGCAACTTTTTCACGTAGAGGACAGTGAGGAAAATGTTTCGTATGCTTGCCTTTACTGATCATAGAGTATAGGAGTTGGGAGGTCATAGAGGCTGTACAGGTCATTTGTCAGGCCACTTTTGGAATACTGTGTTCAATTCTAGTCTCCCTGTTACAGGAAGGATGTCGTGAAACTTGTAAATCTTTTCTGAACCCTTTCAAAGGATGTTTCCAGAGTTGGAGGGTTTGAGATATAGGGAGAGGCTGAATAGGCTGAGGCTATTCTCCCTGGAGAATCGGAGGCTGAGGGATGACCTTATAAATGTTTATAAAATCATGAGGGGTATGGATAGGGTGGATACCCAAAGGTGTTTTCCCCAAGGTGAGCGAGTCCAAAGAGGGCATAGGTTTAAGGTGAGAGGCCCATTTTGGATCTATCCCCTCAGGGGCAACTTTTTCACGCAGATGATAGTGCATGTATGCAATGAGCTGCCACAGCAAGTGGTGCAGCCTGGTACAATTACAATATTTCAAAAGGTGTCTGGATGGATACATGAATAGCAAGGGTTTAAAGGGATATGGGCCAAATGCTGGCAAATGAGACTCTATTAATTTGGAATATCTGGTCTGCCATGACAAGTTGGATCGAAAGGTCTGTTGCCATGCTGTACATCTCTTTGACTATATGACTGTAATGCACTCCACATAGAAATACAAGTGAAATGGCAACTTTGGATGCTGGGCATTCTATTTAATTTGAATAAAAGAATACAGGAACGAAAGACAGAAAACATAAGACCTTGCAAATGCATTGCACCTTTCGTGTCCCAAGAATGTCGCAAAGAAGACAAATAAGCATTTTTGAACAATTGTAACAGTAATAATTCAGTGAAACTTGCACACTTTATCAGTCAATTTGTGGAAATAATGAGAAAAAAAATGATCTAACAGTGATTGTGACTGTGGGTTAAACATAAACTACATATTAGATCCTGTCCTAGTTTTTTTAAACATTGGTCTTCATACTACAGTGGTGGTAAATGTTGCACTAAAAATCATGTGTTGAAGTGTTACCATAACAATATATAATTTTAAAATGAAAGAAAATGAACATTTCTTGTTGTGACTCATTTCCTTTGGGATCCAGTCCCACCCTTTCCTGTTTAAACTCTGAATGACCTGTTGCAAATTTTCCCCTTCTTATAGCTGTAGCCCTTTGCTGATCTATTCAATATGAACTTAGTTTACCTATTAATTTATTTACAATGGGCTTTTAAGTTCCATGATTAGCAAAAATTCAGAAATGAAAGAAATGACTGCAGCATACCAAATCTTTCTCACAGCTGTACTATGCTGTCTCACTATGAATATAGATAACTTGAATGTTATCTGGATTATTTTTGGAATTCCACTGATAGAGATGCTAGATTTATTGTATGCACCACCTTCTTTATTGAACGTTCCTCTCTGCATAAAAGGAATATAAATCTAGTTTATTTTTGCAACTAGTTACACTATCAAGCAGACTCATATTAAATGTATTAAGTACTCAATAGATTAAAACATTAGCTATGAATAAATCAACTTTTGGCCAGTTATAACTAACAAATATCAATTTTGTAAACTACATTAACATTATGACCTCTTACATCTCAACAGATATAAATAAACAACTTTTTTAACATTACAATAGTATATAATTTCTCAGATGTAATTTATACTTATTTAATATTATATTCATTTTGAATTCACACGAACTGATCACTGCAAACCTAAGTAATTATTAAGGAGTAGATATGAACTCTCACCATAAGAGTGGAATCATATGGTAGTGTAATTGGTCCTGTCAAAATTATGAGGGAATGTTATCTCCGGTGTTATTGGTCGTGCAGAGAATGTGCAGAGAACCTGCTATGTGCAAGCCAGCACACAATTTACCTTCAGAGTAAGTGTGCGCGTGAAGCTCCACAAGAAATATGTCTGATCATGGTTTGAGCACAAAATCTGCAGGTATCAGATTTTAAACCTCCATGAAAATTAAAGTTAGGTGAATTCGAATTTAGGCTTAAAATCTGCTGAAACCAGACTTCCAAACCAGTGTGACTTTTTTTTTTAAATAATATTCACTTGTGAGACATGGGCATCACAGGCTTGGCAACAATTATTGCCTGTTCCCAGCTTCTCTCAAACTGAGTGGCTTGCTAAGTCATTTCATCAGGCAGTTTAGAGTTAACCAGAATGCTGTGGGACTGGAGTCACATGTAAACCAATCCAGGTGAGGGTGGCAGATTTTTTGCCCTGAAGGACATGAGTGAGCCAGATGTCTTTTCTCTCCCCCAAGCATCAGCAATAGTTTCATGGTCATCATTAGATTCTTATTTCCAGACATTCCTAATTATTTTAAATTGAATTCAAATTCCACTATCTGTTGTGGCAAGACTCAAACCCAGGTTTGCAGAACATTAACTGATTTTCTGGATTAATAGTCTAGCAATAATGCCATTAGGCCATCGCCTCCCCATTATTAACACGCTACTCAGTATCTACCTTCACCAAAATAAACCAACCATGTCCACTGTGTACAGGAAATGACTTTTTTTTTATTCATTTATGGGATGAGGGCGTCGCTGACTAGGCAGCATTTATTGCCCATCCCTAATTGCCCAGAGGGCAGTTGAGAGTCAACCACATTGCTGTGGATCTGGAGTCACTTATAGGCCAGACCAGGTAAGGATGGCAGTTTCATTCCCTAGTGAACCAGATGGGTTTTTCCAACAACTGACAATGGATTCACAGTCGTCATTAGACTATTAATTCCAGATATTTATTGAATTCAAATTCCACTCTCTGCCATGGCGAGATTTGAACCCAGGTCCCCTGAATGTTATCTGGGTCTGTGGATTAACAGCCCAGCGATAATACCACTAGGCGATCGCCTACCCCGCATCCACAAAAGCACTACCATCATTGAAAGATACCCATTTTTAGCACTGCATTGTAGATAAATCTCTTTCAAGGCCAGGAGGAAAAAAAAAATCACTAAACAAGTGTCCAATGAAAATAAACCTGCCATAATAAATCAGACGCTGTTTTATAGCATTAATTTCTGACCCTTTTAGCTAGTATTTTGGGAAAATCATTCTGGAGTCTGATGCATTTATAATTACAGTGACTAATTCACAATGATAAAATTCTGATTATATTTGCCCTAAGTTTTGTGGATTTTCTAGAATTTTTACAGGAGGTTTTGGAATGAGGATCACCAGTCTATTTTAATATCCCACGACAACTGCAAACCACCCTTGCAATAAAATCACAACAAACCCAACAAAGCAAGCAAGAGAAAAGATATCTGCACTAAACATCTGTAAAATAACTTCAATCAAAATCTAACTCTCTTCAGAATCCTTATCAAGTACACCATGTGCTTAAAGGCATTGATGAACATCCGAGTGCCATAAGACACAAAGATATTGCCTACTTCATAATAGAAAATGAAGATCAGATTTATCTCACAACAGATAAAAAAATCAATATCTGTAATATAAAGCCAATATAAAGAATCAGTCTAATTATAACATCAAAGGAGACGATTTCTGATGTTCCTTCAGGATGCTGCCTTCAAGTTGGCCTAAAGTGCAGAAATCACCCAAATGTAGTCCTGGGTGAGGAAAAACCCATGTAAGATTGCAAAAGTAATAATGAAAACATGTGGCGTAAAACAATGATTTCATTGACATGAAACATTATTGTTTCTTGCTGTCTTTTTGACACACAAGGATTGCAAATGTTAGGAGCTTTGCCAATCACTGCTCTTTGCAAATAGAGCCATACAGCATGGAAACACCCTTCGGTCCAACTTGTCTATACAGACCAAATTTTCCCAAACTGAACTAGTCCCATTTGCCTGCATTTGGCCCATGTCCCTCTAAACTTTTCCTATTCATGTACGTGTCTAAATGTCTTTTAAATATTGTACCTGTACCTGCATCCACCACTTCTTGCAGTTCATTCCACATATGAACCACCGTCTGGGTGAAAAGTTGCCCCTCAGGTCCCTTCTAAATCTTTCTCTTCTAACCTTTAAAGTATGTCATCTAGTTGTGAACTCCCCTACCCTAGGGAAAAGGCCTTTGCTATTCACCTTATCTATGCCCATCATGATTTTATAAACCTCTATAAAGGTCACCCCTCAACCTCCCAGACTATACAGCCTCTCCTTATCATTCAAAGCCTCCAATCCAGGCAACATCCTTGTAAATCTTCTCTCTAATTTAATCTTCCTACAGACTGCAACCAAAACTGTACATAATACTCCAAATATGGCCTCACCAGTGCCCTGTACGACCATGACACGACATATACGCAATGATCTAAGCAATGAAGGCAAGCATGCCAAATGCTTTCTTTACCAGCCTGTCTACCTCTGGCACAACTTTCAAAGATCAATGTACCTCAACTCTTAAGTCTCTCTGTTCGATAACACTTCCCAGGGCCCTACCATTAACTGTATAAGCCCTGCCCTTGTTTGTCTTACCAAAATGCACCACCTCATATTTTCATCCACTTCAGTGAGCCATGTTTCCATATGATACAGTTGCCTGAACAGCTTTGTCAGCATAAACATTCTTAGCTGAAACATTGATAATAATCAAATAAGATGGCTATACTCCTGCACAATTTGCAATTCCTTTCTTACATGTCCCCATGTCATATCTGCTTTAGAAAAAAGACTAATATTACAGGGCTATCGCTTGCAGATGTAAAAGAAGGTTTTCACCAAAGCTGTAAACTTTGATTTAGGGGGAGAAATTAATCTAGATTATGAGCATGGTAATAATACAAAAGAAAAAGGGATGGAGTGTCACTCAGGCTCATCACCTGCATCCTTTTCTTTTCATTGCTTGTCTCATTGACTCACATTTGCATTTTCTTAGAATACATTACAACATTTCAGTGTAAGATATTGTAATAACAACAACTGCATATTGAAGAAACAAAAAAAAAACAGAAATTGCTGAAAAAACTCAATAGGTCTGGCAGCATCTATGCAGAGAAAGCAGAATTAACATTTTGGGTCCAGTGACCCTTCTTTAGAATTGAGTTTTGAGATTTTCAAGTAATTTCTGTTTTTGTTTCTGATTTCCAGCGTCCACTGTTCTTTGTTTTTTTTTGCATATTGACGATTTTGTTTGTAGATTTTATACCTAAACATTTACTGTTTAAAAAAAAAGACTGGCTAGCACCAATCAACTTGAACCCTTTAAAAGAATCCATTTCAATCAGATGTAATTGACTTTTGGAAAATAGAAACACTGTACTAACATCTTGCTGAACACTTAAATGAGTGGAGTACCTACTCTTCCTGGAAGTCATCCATTATCTACCATACACCCCAGACTCTGAGGTTTAATAGCTAGAAATGGCTGGAAAAATCAGCAGTGCCTCTGCATTGCAGTACTTACCTCATTATGTGAATGCATTCAGGGTCCCTAGCAAAGCTGTAAGCATATCCACTAGAAGTGGTGCCAAAATCAATAGCTATCACCACAACAAATGACTGCTGCAAGGATGCAGTTTGTTCAGAGTCCTTCTGTAAGAAAAAAAATCTTTGTTCAAAAAACATTTTAATTGCATTTTAATGCTGATGTTTTATATCTTTGTTATTTTGTTGTGATATTCAAGTTTTAACACAATGTTTTACCTCATTCTAATTATCCATAATATTGAATCATTTAACTTCCAGTTATTATTGTAGCTGAAGAAGCCCTCAGTTAAGCTTTATTCAACTATCTTTCTACGGCCTCATTTATGAATATTAGAAAAAAAATCATAAATTAAGGACAGATTAGAAGCTCTGTAAAAGAAACAGAAAGAGTGGCCACTTTTCAGGCCACTGTGACAGTGAAAAAAGACTGCTTTTCACAATCATCCAATGACATTTTCAACCCGTTTTCCTGAAATATTTCAACTGTCTTTCTTTGTGGGAGGTATAGATAAGAGTTGACGGTAGTTGTCTTTTCCCTAAGATGGGGATTTTCAAGACAAGGGGGCATATTTTTAAGGTGAGATGAGAGAGAGATTTAAAAAAAAAAGACGAGGCAATTTACTTTTTTTTAAACTCAGAGAGTGATTCATGTGTGGAATGAATTTCCTGATGAGGTGGTGCATGCAGGTACAATTACGATGTTTAAAAGACGTTTGGATAGATATATGAATAGGAAAGGTTTGAGGGATATAGACCAGCAGCAGTTAGGTGGGACTAGTTTAGTTTGGGATTATGTTTAGCATGGACTGGTTGGACCGAAGGGTCTGTTTCTGTGCTGTATGACTCTATGACTCTATATGAAAGTCAGTCATTTTTTATTATCATGACTCTGGAAATACAATCAAAGACAGGAAATATTTAGAAATATATTAGTGCTCCAGGTATGGGGATATGTACACACTGCAAGTGATGAACACAAACAGTTATGCGATCAGTTCTTGCTTGCTATTAGACTGCAGCAGTGGAGGTGTCTCCGTATGCTCTTGCATTCACATGTAGAGCTGTGTTCAGCAACTCCTCAATGCATGTTCAATGCTAATGTTAGGTGAAAGCTGGTGCGAGTGCCACCTTTCTCTGAACAATAGAAGAGCTTAAAATTAAATTTAAAAATCCTGTGAGATCCTCCATGTTAAATTCCAGAAAACTACTTTGGTAAAGGATCGAACTGGGGCTACTCTAATTAACTCTTTTTTTCACACATGGAATATGGACATTGTTGCAAGGCCATCATTTGTTGCCTACCCCTAATTGTTCTTGAACTGAGTTCTTTAGTGGACCATTTCAGAGTTCAGTTAGGAGGCAATTACATTGCTTTGAGCCTGGAATCACATATAGGTCAAACCAGGTAAGGACAGCAGATTTCTGTCCCCAAAAGACATCAATGAATTAGATGGTTTTTTATAAAAATCAATAACTGTTATCATGGCCACTATCACTGAGACTAGCTTTCAAACCCAGACTTCCACTAATTGCATTTAAATTCCACCAGCTGCCAAGGTAGGATTCGAACCCTGTGTTCTTTGTGCATTTGTCTGGGTCTCTGAATTATGAGAACAGTGGCTTTACCACGATACAATCAGAAAAGAAGCATGGACCTCCGAACCCAACAATCACAGTTTAGGTTAGATAAATGGATCAATAGCATGCAGAACAGAGTAGGAACAGCAGAAAAGAAGCTAAAGTCGGAGTTGATGCAAGACTGTAAAAATATTGGATGTAAAGACACAATTGCACTTACATGTGCTACTGAGTTGGGAAAAAAACATAAGACGGCATTGATTTCTCAGATTTTACTTTCAGGGAGATATAGAAAATCTAGTAAGTTTTAAGCATCTACAAATGGTGTAGAATAGGCCCATGGAAGAGGGTAGAGAAGGAACTCACAGTTTACCACCCCATTTCAGTTCCAAACCTCTAGAGTTCCAAACTAGGTTAAAATCAAGGTGTAAGTTCAGTATCTCACTGGCACATTCCACTGGCAGTTGGTAGCACCAAAGTCACATGAGGCCCGGGATCACTGAGGCCTTTAGGCCACAAATGAAGTGAAGGCAGGATGGACAATTGGGGTTTGTGAGATGATCTCTGATGTCTTAGGAAGGCAAGTGGCATATTGGTTTTTACTGCAAGAGGACTTGAGTTCAGAAGCAGGGGTATCTTATAGCAGTTATACGGCTATAGTCAACACCTCGAGAATTACATACATTTCTGGTTTCCATATCTAAGAAAGCACATACTTGCCTCAAAGGGAGTACACAGGTGGCTCATTAGGCTGATACCAGGGATAGCAGGACTGTGCTGTAAGGACAGATTGAATCAACTGGGCCTGTCTTCACTAGAGTTCAGATGGATGAGAGGGAATCTAATTGAAATGTATTAAATTCTAATAGGCTGGACAGACTAGATATAAGGAGGATGTTTTCCCTGCTTGGAGACTCTAGAACCATGGACATAAACTCAGGATATGGGGTAAACCATTTAGGACTGAGATGGGGAAAGAATTGTTCACTCAGAGCGTAGTGAATCTATGGAATTCTCTACCATAGAAGGATGTGGAGACCAAGTCAAGAAATATTCAAGAAAGAGATTGATACACTTTAAATGCATCAAGTGGTATATGGAGAAAGCAGGAATATGGTATCAAGATAGAACATTAGCCATGATCATGCTGAATAATGAAGCATGCTAAAAGGGCTGAATGTCCTACTTCTGAATCTAGTTTTTATATTTCCATCTTATGATATCTGCATACTTCTCCAATTTGATAGCTTCTGTATAGATCAACAATCAAGGATGCAGAGGGCAACCCTGAACTCCCAAAGGCCTAGTCAGTTCCCTGAGGGTGGTCCAATGGAATCAGGTGCTTTCCAAGCTCTGAATGTCTGTTATTGCCTCTCCATCCCCCATAAATGAGGCCTCCAGCATTGAAAATTCCAATCAGATAGTCCATCAGCCCCACTGGGAACAATGACAACAAGTGGTACTGCACTCATAGGAGGGCTAGGATCACAGAGGGATGTCAGGTCACAGGTCAGAGTAGGCAGGATGGTGCTTGCACGGTAATCATCATGCTGGAGCAAAGGAAAAGACAATGCTGACCCTGCCTGATGCTACACTCCTTGATATAGCTCAAGAGTGTCTGATAATGATGGACTCTTCCCAGGAGGTTGCTGGGTTTTGCTAGGCTGCTTTTCCGAAACCATGCATCCTTCATTTAATCCCAGAGCCAAAGCCTCACCCACTCATCCTCCCCGTGACTCACACACCCGCTTCCTGCCATCACTCATTTGTATCCCTCTAGCCAAGGTGTAGTGTTGTAGTGGCAGCAGCCACCTCAGAGTGCTGCTGCTGCTGAATACAGAGGAACTGCCAACCTCTGATTGGCCAACAGATCTTGCCAGTTAAAGTTTCCACCTCCGCTGTCCTGGATCCCTGGGGAAGGCCCATATTCCATTGACTCTGCTGTCTGATCTCAATCACAACTACCTCAACTTTTGCTCTGTAAAATGTCACCTACACCTGGCAATTGTTCTGCTCCCAGTTGTTGTCTATGCCTAACCTCACGTCCTGATCTAGTCTTCTACCATGTTGTACTCCCATAATACCTACACCCCCTGAACGCAGCCTTGCTGAGTGCTACCATTTGCCAGTACCCAGAGTGCTTCCTGGTTCCAATAGGCTATCATCCAATGGTCACTGCTAGGGCATAGGTTTTCCCAGGAATACACTGTTGGGGAGCAAGTGATGTGGCATTTATCCACTCCACAAGATACCATCCTTGAATTTAATTCAGGATTTAAAACAGAAAGGGAAGGGAAGCATGGATCTTGCATTCATGGCACTTTTCATGGGTTTCAGGTGTTCCCAAAGTGCTTTACAGCCAATGGGATAACATTTTAAGGTGCAATAATTATGGCAATGAAGGAAACATGGTATCCAATTTGCACTCAGGAAGGTCCTTCAATCGCAATGTAACAATAATTGGATAATCTGTTTGTGAGTTAAGGGAAGAACTTGGTCAGGACCATCTGTGCTGCTCCCCTTGGAAATAGCACTATAGGATCTCTTGCATCCACCTGAGGTCGGATTTTGCCATGATCTCATGTAACATCCTAAAGATGGTGTCTCTACCATTTGGAACTCCTTCACTACTGCACTGGAGTGTTACCCTAGATTGCGAACTTAGGTTATTGGAGTGGGAATTAAATCTATGGTCTTCTGACCACTGCTACAACTGAGTTTTAGCTGACACCATACAGTAATTGTTATGGAGCACATATTTTTAATAAGTTACCAAACATGGTTAGCTCTTCCTGCAGTAAACAGTAAAATAATGTGTATGTGCTGTACTAATTGCAGTAAGTAATATACTCATGTGGCAGTTCTGCTCTCACCACCTACGCTGGTCATGCCTCCACAGACAGTTTGATCAAGTGAAAAGCACAATGTTAAGCCATCTGCTTTGCTGCAGCAGCCTGTAAACAAGTCCCACTACAGGGATGGAGCAGGCTAAAGAAGGAGGAAGAAAGCAATTATAACTTCTGTTACTTCAAAGTAGAATCCAGCACCTTCTCTATTATAAAATAAAATGAACTTACCTTAGTTCAGAAGCTGAACGACCACTGAAGAGGCCTTAGTACATAGGCCTGTAGTGCATGCCATTCATTGCTGAATTGGGTGTTCGCCAATTGAAAACAGGCCCTTAATTTGCTCCTTAAAAAGGGACCAAGGCACTGTTCTAGGTGTCAGCCTGAAACAGTAAAATAAGGGCCCACAAATTTAACAGTGGGGTCAATGCCTGTGCAGACTGGAAACAGGTGGTCCCACTGCTAAATGGATAAATGCTGCACCTGTTTTATGCCTGAAAAATGGGCACAAAGCATAACAATTTCTGCTGATTAGTTAAAGGTAAACTGACAAATCTTCACACAAAAACAATCAGACTGAGCAAATCTTACACATTATGTTTAAGAAAAATACTCCAATCACATATTTCACAAGGTGCTTGTATTTGAACTGAATAGCTTGACCATTCACTCAGGCTTCAGCTAAACAGACTAATTCCTACATTGAATCAAGATGAATTATGACTTCCGTAAGTGCAACTGATTTTCAACCTTGAAAGAACTGACGAAGCAAACAATAACCTTAATCTTGACAAATTTATCAGTTTTGTCACAGTACCCTGTAGTGGTTTAAAAGGAAGCTGTTGGATAGAGGCTTAAAATCATAGTGACTCTCTCAGTAATGGAAATATCTGAACTTGACTTCAGTCAAGTTTTGAAAGTTGACAGTGAGTCAGCCTGTAATAAATAGTCAGCATAGACTTCTCTCACAAAAGACTCAATAAATTCCACAACACAATTCAAAACATGACAATGGATTATCTCAAAGTTCTGGCCAATAATTACCCATCAATATCCACCCCCACTCCCAATCCCCAGCAGTACTCGACCAATCTTAACAATAATGACTACATGTGAAGAGTACTCCACTGGCATGAGGCTTTTTTGAGCTATCCTTAGGAAATGAAAGATACTATAAGAAATGCGGGTTTTCCTCTTTCCTTGAAATGAACTGTTTTCTAAGGACAAGATATGTGATAGATCTGGGGGCCCTTTGTTCAGTGCCATGGAATCAACATAGTCTCTTATTTTCATTAATATATTATTTTATATATATATTATTTAAATAAACTCAATTTACACCTTTAGCATATTCTCATTCGGACTTTCAAAAACCTCTCATTGTAAAATTGGACATGCCATTTGTCGGGTTTATGAGGCTACAGTCTGGTTTCCAAACTGCCACCAATGAGAGTCTACCGATGAGAAAACTTCAGAAGTTCATAATTCAGATTTCAGTTTTGTCAAGTTGCCTCTAACCTGTTAACACTATTATAACAAGTTACCAGCTTTAACAACTGATTACATTCTGAATAACAGCTCTTAAAAACATATTAATAATAAACATAACATATATCCAAACTTGGAATAATTGCATCTTGTAACCAAGTAGATGTCCAGGTTGTGATTAACATCATTAACAAACATTAATTTTGCTTGACTGAAACCTCAGAGTAGTAATATATCAAAAGACATGCAGGCAGTTTAGAAGTAAGGAAGCATTCTCTTACTGGAGACATTGAAGGGCTAAGTGGGGTAATACCAGGTTCTCCCAGGCTTTTAGCTGGCGATGGATAAGTTGGAGAGACATTTTCTGTAGAGAGTAATAAGCATCATTAGGTCATGATTCAATTTTCAAAAGTAAGTTGTGAAAAGAAAATAGGACAGTAAAACAAGATGAAAGTAAATAACTCTGATATATCTATTGAAATCTGAGAAATAATCAGTTTTATTTTGTTTATAAGTGAAACTTTACATGGAAAAGAAACTGGAACTGCTGTTTGGCTAAAGACTCTATACCTGAAATGCAAACTTACTTCTCTTTATGAATGTTGATGGGCTTGTTGTAGACTACCAACAGGCTACCATGTCAGTTTGACTTTGTACCCTATTTGAACAATGCTCTAATTATTCTAAATTTGATTTCAAATTCAGTTTGAGTCCTGATCTCACTTAAAGAAATAAATTATAACTGATTGTTCTGATAAGCAGGTTCAAATAGTGGCTGTCACAGCGAGCAATGTCACCGTGCTTACCGTGAACAAGCAGAGAAAGTGTTAAAAACAACTTTGCAGTACAATTATTCAAATAGGCCAATTGTAGAAATTACTCCCATATTTATTGAATGCAGCTGATTCAGAACTACTAGTTATAAAGAAGCAAAGAGTTCAGGATCACTGATTTCTAAGCAGCCCAGTGGGACGTTCTCCACCTAAACCAAGCTGGGACCAATGTCCTAGCAAAAAGGTAAATAGGCTGGTCAACTGGATTTCAAACTAGAAACTCAGGGGGCAAGGGAAAGGTAAAACTTACCCCAGTAGGAAACAAAGCAACAGTTAACATCTGTAGGGGATGCGTAGAAAAATATGAATGAAATGACAGGAAAGGAGAACTCAGGAGAGGTTATTAAAGTCTCCAACTCAGACACAAACAGGACAGAGTGTTTGGAAAGGGTTATGAATCAAACTTCAAGCTCACTAGACAAATAAATGACATTGAGAAGAAGGAGGTTAAAACAGGACTGAAGGTGTTATATCTGAATGCATGTAGTATAAGGAATAAGATAATTGAGTTTGTGGCGCAGATTGAAATTGGCAGGTATGATATGGTGGGCATCATGGAGCTGGGGCTGCAAGGGGATCAGGATTGGGAGCTGAATATCCAAGGATATACATCCTATCGAAAAGAGAGGCAGGTGGGCAGAGGGTATGGTGTAGCCTTATTAGTAAGAAATGAAATTAAATCAATAGTAAGAAATGAAGTAGGGTCAGATGGTGTAGAATCTGTGTGGGCAGAATTGAGGAACCGCAAAAAGGTTAAAAAAAAACATAGTTGGAGTTACGTACAGGCCTCCAGACAGTAGTCCGGAGCTGGGGTGCAAGATACACCAGGAAATAGAAAAGATAAGTAAGAAAGGCAAAGTTACGGTGATCGTGGGGGATTTCAATATGCAGGTGGACTGGGAAAAGCAGGGGTTGGTAGTGGATTGCAAGAAAAGGAATTTATGAAATGTCCATGAGATGGCTTTTTGGAGCAGCTTGTGGTGCAGCCCACTAGGAAACAGGCAATACTTGATCTAGTATTGTGCAGTGAGGGAGACTTGATAAGGGAGCTTAAGGTGAAGGAACTCTTAGGAGGCAGTGATCATAATATGATTGAATTTACTCTGAAGTTTGAAAGGGAGAAGACAGAATCAGAGGTAACATTATTACAACTGAATAAAGGCAACTACAGAGGCATGAGGGAGGAACTGGGTAGAAATGACTGGGAGAGGAACCTAGCAGGAAAGACAGTGGAGCAGCAATGGCAGGAGCTTCTGGGAGTAATTCAGGAAACACAGCAAAAATTCATCCCAAGGAAAATGAAGCATACTAAATGAAGGACAAGCCAACTATAGCTGACAAGGGAAGTCAGGGACAGCATAAAAGCAAAAGAGAAAGCATATATGTGGTGAAGGGCAGTGGGAAGCCAGAGGATTGGGAAGCTTACAAAAACCAACAGAGGGCAATGATTAAAGGTAAACTAGCCAAAAATATAAAAGGGCAAAAGAGAGGCCAAAGTGGACATTGGACCACTGGAAAATGATGCTGGAGAGATAGTAGTGGGGATCAAGGAAATGGCAGAGCAACTGAATAATTACTTTGCATCAGTCTTCGTGGTGGAAGACATGAGTAATATCCCAAAAAGTCAAGAGAGACAGGGGGCAGACCTGAGTATGTTGGCCATCAACAAGGAGAATGTGCTAGAAAAACTGAATAACCTGAAGGTGGATAAATCACCAGGACCAGATGGACTACACCCCAGAATTTTAAAGGAAATAGCTGAAGAGATAGGGGAGGCATTAGTGGTGATCTTTCAGGAATCACTAGACTCAGGCAGGGTCTCAGAGGACTGGAAAATTGCTAACGTGACACCCCTGTTTAAAAAGGGAGTAAGGTAAAAGACGGAAAATTACAGACTAATTAGCCTAACCTCAGTCGTGGGTAAGATTTTGGAATCCATTGTGAAGGATGAGATTTCTGAATACTTGGAAGTGTATGATAAAATAGGGCAAAGTCAGCATGGTTTTTTCAAGGGGAGGTGATGCCTAACAAATCTGCTAGAATTCTTTGAGGAAGTAATGAGCAGGTTAGACCAAGGAGATCCAATGGATGTTATCTACCCGGACATCAAGAAGGCCTTTGACAAGGTGCCGCACGGGAGGCTGCTGAGTAAAATAAGGGCCCATGGTGTTAGAGGCAAGGTGCTACCATGGATAGAAGATTGGCTGTCTGGCAGAAAGCAGAGTAGGGTTAAAACGGTCCTTCTCAGGATGGCAGCCACTGACAAGTGGTGTTCCACAAGGGTCAGTGTTGGGACCACAACTTTTCACTTTACACATTAATGATCTAGATGAAGGAACCAAGGGCGTTCTGGCTAAGTTTGCAGACGATACCAAGACAGGTAGAGGTACAGGTAGTATTGAGGAGGTGGGGAGGATGCAGAAGGATTTGGACAGGTTAGGAGAGTAGGCAAAAAAGTGGCAGATGGAGTACAACATGAGAAAGTGTGAGGTCATGCACTTTGGCAAGAAGAACAGAAGCATGGACTGTTTTCTAAATGGGAGAAAATTGAGAAATCTGAAGTGCAAAGAGACTTGGATGTTCTAGCCCAGGATTCTCTCAAGGTAAACTTGCAGGTTGAGTCAGTAGTTAGGAAGGCAAATGCAACTTTGGCATTTATTTTGAGAGGACTTGATTATAAAAGGAGAGATGCACTTGTAAGGCTCTGGTCAGGCCACATTTGGAGTATTGTGTGCAGTTTTGGGCCCCCTATCTCAGGAAGAATGTACTGACCCTGGAGCAGTTTGAGGGGAAGTTCATGAGAATGGTCCCAGGAATGGAAAAACTTATCATACAAGGAATGTTTGAGGACTCTGGATCTGTACTCGATGGAGTTTAGAGGATGAGGGGGGATCTAATTAAAACTTACACAAGACTGAATGGCCTGGACAGAGTGGATATTGGGAAGATGTTTCCAAGGGCACAGCCTTCAAGTAAAGGGAAGACTTTTTAGAACGGAGATAAGGAGAAACTACTTCAACTGGAGAGTGGTGAATCTATGGAACTCGCTGCCTCAGAAGGCTGTGGAGGCCAAGTCATTGGGTATATTTGAAACTTATCAGTCATGATTGAATGGCAGAGCAGACTTTTGCGTGGCTGAATAGCCTAATTTCTGCTCCTATGTCTAATGGGCTAAATGGTCTTTGTTGCAATTCTGAAAATCTCTGCCCTGTCTATCTCTGATCAAACACTACAGGTGACATCTTCAATTTCAATCAACTGCTACAGGCTGCGAAGGTTGTCTGTCACGGCTAAATTTTCTCAGCACTGAATTTGGAAAAATCATTGATCATAGCCTGAAACCATTCAATCTGTCCACATACAGAATTCATGTGAGATGAACTTTCTTTTGGAAATTCGTAAACAATTTAACCTATCCTTTGTCCCTGTAAGCTGCTTTCCGAGTGGGTTTCTTGTGGCACTGTGTCCCTACCTGTGAGCTAAGAGGCCTGAGTTTTAAGTCTCACCTGCTCCATAGGAGTCAAATAATATCTCTCAACAGGTCAATTAGAAAAAACTTACATCTCCGTGCAAGTTGGATTTTATCTTAATGCATCCAGTTTTAAGGCCCACAAACATTCTTTCTTGTTTTAAAACTTACATGAATATCTCTCCTACGTCACAGCATTTAAATTAACAAGCAAGTTCTTTTACAAACCATCTACTGTGAAAAGAGTGGTGAGCCATTTTAACACTGTTCACCTGGCTGTTACAATAGTTATAAGTAATTGAAATTGCAGCTTTGCTTATTTTCTGTGTATGTGTGTAACTCCAACCATGGGCTCATTGGAGGTTCAATAAAAAAAATGGCTCTCAAGAACCAAGAATGCTTGGGCTGAGGGACATTGCTGTAACCCTTCTTTTGACAACTGCTGGCAGCATACTGTTAACATGTTTTGAAGGTAAAACCACCTTTGCTCATCCTTTTCTAGCATGTGAATTTAGCAACAATAAAAATGCCAAAACTAACAAAGCAATCTATTCTTCAAATTCACTAGAGTTATTAGGTTAGTGAAAGGGTTAGCGGTTGAAGCTGTGACTAATGGATTAAAAGCAGCAAATGCTTCCTGCTTGTGGATACATGCGTTCATTTTGATGTCTTTGAAGCTGGAGAAATATAATACTGTACTTCCTGTCCGCTTCCTCTTAACTTAGGCTTTCAAAAGTAGTGTGCTAAGTTTGGAATGTAAAGCAGTGATTTATTTTTTTGACAAATTGCTTGAATGTTTCAAGATGCAACTTTCAGATGTATAAATTCAAGTGATCTGAAGGAATAATGTTTTACTGTTTTGCAACAAAGATTGTTTGTAACTACAAATGCCAAAGGAGTGCAAACTATAATCATTTATTTCCAAATTGTGCTTCCCCAAAGAAAACTGATAGCCTCATAGTCTAGACAAGTATTCACTCCCTCCAAACACCACCGTTGTGTCTCTTTTGACTTGAACAAATGTTGAATGCCAATTTTATATATTTTTTTAATTCTAAAACT